TCACGATGAACGGTTCAGATCCACTTCCTATTTAAACGCGATCCAACGGTCCAGATTAAATGCGATGGACGACGCAAGTTAAAAGGAAACGGATATAAATACCTTTCTTCACACCAAACCCTAACTCTAACCGTCAGAATCCCCCCCCCCCTCGCCCCGGCGCCGGAGAAGAAGAGCCAACCGCTGCCCCCCGCAACGCCGGAGCCACTTCCAACTGCCAAAGGATGTAAAATTTTAAACATTCACTCGAAATTCAATTTTGGACACCCCTATAGCCAAATTAGAGCAAAAGAACTGGCAGATGAGCCGAAAACTGCTAGTAAAGTCCTGGCACCGCCGCGAGAAGAATCAAAAAATGCCTCCGATGAGGCCCTTCCTGATTCCCATTTCATGCAAATTTTTCACAATTGTAATCACCATTTCTTTTTCTACAAGTTGACCGAAGTAAAACACCCAACCGCAAAGGTGAGACAGCGGAGCTGCCGCATCGAAAAATTCACCGCCAGTAAGCCTCTGTTTTTCAAATTTTTTGGGCCAACCGAAGCCTCTTAACATATTTTCTCGTAGGGAGGAGTAGAAAGTTTGATAAAAATGGCCACCTCGAGGCAAATTGCCGTCGCGGGCGGCGGTACCGCTGTGGCTGAATCTCGAAATTGGCCAAAAAGGGTTTCTAACACTTATTTTGGGTTTTTGGGATATTTTTAGATACTTGAAGCGTTTTTTAATCCCCGAATAAAAATTCAGAGAATCCGAAGACCGCCAGTAGGGGCAGTTGAAAGCTTAGTGTTTTATATATCAATTCGAGTAAGAATCCCTTACCTTATTTCCTGTTATGGAATTGAAGTTTAATTAATAATAATACGATATTTTGAGTAATTTAAAAATTATTCATAATTAATTACGGGTTACTAATAGAGCCGGAACTGGTTATTTATTACTGTTTACCATGTTTACCTGATTGATTGATTTTATAGTTCGAATGCATGATAATACACTGGAATTGGTATGATATTTCGATTGTGTTTACTTAATGCATGTATTGCTTGTTTTATGTGATTTATTATTAATTGGGAAACTAGAAATTAAAAGTAAACGAAAAATTGTTTGATTAAGTGAATGGATGAACGGTAGCCTTACTGGATATCCTGAAAGATGGTGGACGTACCGAGTACATAGAAAACTCTACCGTGAACGTTGCCTCATACGAGACAGCGTATCGAGGATTAGTATTTTGGCGCTCATATCGGATGGGGTATGGAGACGGTCCATTTCATCCTCATGTCGGACGGAGTATTGAAGGATAATATTTTGGCACTCATACCGAACGGGGTATGGGGACGAGCTGTAAATTGAAAATGTTAAAAAAGGGTTCACGCGTAGTGGAGACATCCTTATGGAACCCCATTGATACCAATAGACTGATAAAAGAGAAAGTTCTTGTTGTCGACTGATTGCATATGAGATTATGATATTGTTTATGTTATTGACTCTATAGGTTAGTTTTTAAAAATCTCGTTACAGTAAGTATGCGGTAAATAATTTTATTTATGATAAACGATTTTACTAAAATTAAGAGCTCCATTAGTTATTTTCATAATTTTTACCAACTTTCATTTTTGTGTCGGTGAGTAGCGTGATATTCTTACTGGCCTAGTATAGCTCACTCTTTCATTAACTATTTCAGATCAAGAGGAACAAGATCCAGAGTTTGATCTACAAGAGGGTTGCGAGTAGGGTGCCTAGTTGTTTATTTTCTATTATTTCTTTGATTTTTCGTTATTTTAGTTTAAAAAGGTCATTCCTGTAGCAGTATTGAATAATCTGAATTATTGTGTAAGAAATGTAAACCCTAACTATTTATTTCGCTTTTGCATTCAATTCATAATTTATTTTCTTTCAAGTTCACGGGCCGTTACAGAGAAGGGACCTAGCGGGAAAGAGAAGGGGCTGAGTGGGAAAGAAAAGAGGTCGAGTGGAAAAGAGAAAGGGAGTTAAAGAGCGGCCGCCACGAGGGAGGAAGAAAAGAAGAGAGAGGTAGAGGCAGGAGAGTGTGGAAGCCGAACCAAAACGAAAAAGGAGGAAGAGAGAACGGTCGAGACGCTGTTTAACGGCAGAGACCGAGGTAAGTGAGGTAAAGGTTCGTTCTTTTCGTCTTTTCTTCCCCTATTTTCCTTTCAATCTATTTCTATTTTACAATAACTAATTTTTTAAACATAAAAATTACCATTCCAGTCACAAGCACGCAAGGGAGTCGTGGGGTGACCATGAGGAGGCGACCGGGAGCTAAGCCGAGCTAAATCGACCACGCCGAAAGGTAAAATCATTTTGGTGGTGGTTGAGTGGTGGTGGGGTGGGGCTGGTGTCACGTTGGTTAGACAAGCTCGACCAGGCCACCCACACACACAGGAACTAAGGAGGTTTCCTCAGGAATGGGAAAAGCCGACCCATTTAGGAAGCTGAAGGGTCCTCCCCGAGCGTGGGAACCCAATTCATCATTTTGGGTTCTGATTCGCCGTTCGGGAAGCTGAAAAGTCTTTTTCAAAAAACAAAAATACGATTTGTCATCTAGGGAGCTAAAAAGTCTTTCCGAAAAAATGTGAATCTGATTCGTCGAACAAGGAGTCAAAAGATTCTTTAGATACGGATCCCGATAGATTCGAATATTCTGTTGGGTGGTCGTTGGAACCCGTAAGTTAATTAAATTAATTTTTAGTATATTAAAGTATTTTAATTAATTATGTCGTGTGTACAGAAAAAATTTAGACATTCAGACAGATCCAGGAAGATACGTAGGAGAGTAAGTATTTCTAAATCTCAACCGGGTTTGAATTTCAAAAAGTGCATTCATTTAATTAAATTATGAATTTTGAAATTTGAACAGACATTGATCCAATTTTTAGTGAAAAATAAAATCCAAATTATGATCAGTAAACCTAAGCAATTGGAACCCTATGAGGAGACAAAGCTAGAAAACAGACCCAATAGACTGAGAGTTATTTAAACTAAATTATTTGGACTGATGATATCTGAAATTGAAAAGGAAAATTACCAATTAAAGAAAAATTAAAAAAGAAAAAGAAATAAAATAAAAATGTAAAAATAGAAAAGAAAAGAAATAATTGAGGTCAAGAAATGATCATTTAAACAAACTGAGAATGTTGGCATGAGAGGATAGGAGTGAATAGGGTAGGGACCTTGAATACCTTCTCGTTTAGTCTGAATTGAGGAGGAGAAGGTGTGTGTATGGCTAAAGTTCAGCAGAGATGGTGAACCTGCACATGGATAGAGTCTGAAACCTAATCTAGAAGTGGATAGGCATTCATGTGATTGTGGGCCACCTAGCAAATGTACCTACTGTGGCCATGGTGTGATTTGTGTGTGTACTATCCATGCGATGGAGGGATCCATTTCGTCTTTCCTCGATGATAACATAAACGACATCGCACGATGAGACCATAGAAATGACCATTCTGTGATCTTTTATTTATGTGTGATTACATTTCAAGATTATGAACGATATTCGAGTGTATTTGTGATCTTTTGTGTGTGTGATTATGTTTCAAAATAACGATTGATATTCGAGTGCACTTATGACTTTCGAGAGTATGAGAATATACATTTGAGGTTTGTATATGATATTCATCATATGAATCAGGAACATGTGAAATAGTGAAAATAAGAACATGAATTTTTCACTGAAACATTTTTATTGCTTTTGTTTCTTATCTTGGTTGAGAGAACGAGAATACTTATTGAGTTAGCGAAGCTCATTGAATTTTACCCTGATATTTTTTAGAGGAGAATGAAGAGCCAGCACCGCTGCCAGACGAGTAAAACCTGTAGAAAGGTTATTGTTTTTGTATATTTTGTGCATATTTGAAAAGTTTTATTTTATTCTATTAAACTCTAACTCCTGAACTCATGTTTTGTATATATAATTACTATACATATCACATGAGTTGCTAAGTTGTATTATATTTTTTTATCCACACATGTATATATTTTATGAGCCCACTGCATGAAATGGCTTGAGTAGGAATTGCACCTTGTATCGAGTATTGAAGCATGACAAGTGGTATCAGAGCCCACATTTCTAGAATCATCCCTTGTGCGTAAGATTTTATAGTTTAAATATGATATTTTGTAACTATTTGGGTGTTGAGAAGTAGGAAATGTTATTTTGAAATGTTCTAATTCATTCTTTTTTAAATGAAGGGTTGTAAGATGAGACGTGGACGGACTCCACCAGTGCAACCTCCCGACTATATGTCTTTACAAGAACATATTGACCGGTGATACCACATGGTAGAGGAGCTTGTTAACCAGCATAAAAACGGGATATCTGGCCTTCCTCTAGTACCAGCTCCATATAATTCAGAACTAGCCGTTATGGATCCAGACTGTCATAGAAAATTCATGAGACTACATCCTCCTACATTTACTGGTACCAAGAATTTTATTGAAGCTGAAGGATGGTTGAAAGAAATTGAAAAGGCATTCCGAGTTTTGGGCGTGACTTCTGAACATAAAGTGATTATGGCCACGTACCTACTTGTGGGTGAAGCTGATCATTGGTGGAAATTCAGACAGACCACCTTACCTATTCCCATCACCTGGGAGAGATTTCGGAGGGCGTTCAACGCCAAGTACTTTCTAGCACAACTCCGACACCAAAAAGAGTTGAAGTTCATACAGCTCACTCAGGAGAACTTGTTAGTGATTGAATATGCTCGAAGATTCACTGAGTTGACCCATTTTGCTCCAGCCATTTTGACTTATGAAGGACAGAGGGCGAGAAAATTTCAGTAGGGGCTACGCCTAGAGATCCAGGATACTCTTGTAGTTCTAGAATTGAAGACCTATGATGAAGTTTTGACGAAAGTAAAAATAGTAAAAAGTAGACTGAGGGGTTTATCCTCCGGAGCAGGCAGTTTTAGACCCCTGGTACCTTTGAGAAGATAGATTTCAGGGTTTAGTTCACATGATAAGAGGCCTAAAATGGTAACAGAGATACCTCCTAGACCATCATCAACTCTTACTAGGGCACCAACCTGTCGTACTTGTGGAAAGAATCATGGTAATCAGCTACACCATCGTATCATTCGATCCTGTTTTAAGTGTGGTAGGTAACAACATCTGATCCGTAACTGTCCACTTATAAAGGAATAACTAAAAGCTCAAAGATGAGGACGAGTGTACACACTTATTGCAGTAGATGCTAAAGCAATTCCAGAGGTGGTTCAAGGTATGTACTCTATCTCAAAGAACCTAGGTAAGGTATTAGTAGATTCTGGTTCCACACACCCATTCGTATCACACACTTTTACACAATAATTTGGTGTTACATCTGTTTATTTGGGGCATATCTTGATGATATCCACACTAAACATAGAGGTATTACTTTCTGATGTTATCTAGAAAAATTGTAAAATAGAGATAGCTGGTAGGGAGTTAAAAATAAATTTGGTATTTTTAGATGTAGAAAATCTTGATGTAATATTAGGAATGGACTAGCTAGTGGCTCATTACGCGACTTCAGATTGTTGTAACGAGAAGGTTGTATTTAAGATTCTTAATGAAGAAACTTTTACTTCATAATTGAACGGTGTTATTTACCATATAGTATGATTATTTAAGTTATATAATTTATTGAGGCTAACATATAAAGGTTGACGTGGTAGGTGGTAAAGATAAAAAAATTAATTTTTATGATGTGTTGATGGTCCATAAGTATCCAGATTGTATTCCTTATCGAACTTTCAGGATTACCTCTAGATCGTGAAATAGAATTTTTCATTGATCTATAACTAGGCATCGACCCAATCTCCATTGCTCATTACAGACTGGTGAGAGTTCAAATAGAAGGAGTAAAGAAGCAATTAATAGAACTCCGAGACAAAGGATTCATTCATTATAGTATTTTTTCTTGGAGTGCTCCTGTAACATTTGCCAATAAGAAAGATGGAACCAAGCGAATGTGTATTGACTATATAGATAACTAAACCAAGTCACCATTAAGCATAAATACCCTTTGCCCAGAATTGATGACCTATTTGACCAATTACAAGGGATGCAGATTTTTTCCAAGATTGATTTACGATCTGGTTACTATCAAGTGAAGATTAAACCCGAGGATATTTCAAAAACTACCTTTAGAACCAGGTATGACCATTACGAATTCTTGGTCTTACTTTTTGGATTGATGAATTCACCGACGGTATTTATAGACATGATGAATCAGATGTTGAGCCTTGGTTAGATCACTTTGTTATTGTGTTTATTGACAATATATTAATTTAATCCAAGAGTCGAGAAGAACATGTTGAGCACTTAAAGCAAGTTCTGAAAACTCTTGGAAAAGAAAAGTTGTATGCAAAATAGAGTAAGTGTGCATTCTATCTCGAACATATTACTTTTTTGGGTTATGTAGTTTCTAAAGACGAAGTATCTATAGATCTAGCAAAAGTTGAGCCTATCATGGGACTGAAACATCCCACTACTGTAAATGATGTCCGAAAATTTTTTGTTATAGATTGGTACTACTGCTGATTTGTGAAAGGATTCTCTAAAATTGCAACCCCTCTTACCCGTCTTACTAAAAAGGATGTTAAGTTTGAATAGACCCCATACTGTGAAAATAGCTTCAGAGAACTAAAAAACCGACTTGTGGCAGCTCTAATACTAACACTACCTAGTGGATCAGGAGGTTATGCAGTATATACTTATGCGTCAGGCCAGGGTTTAGAGTGTGTGTTAATGCAAAATAGCAGAGTTATCGCATAGGAGTCGAGATAATTGAAGAATCATGAACGAAATTACCCGACCCATAACTTGAAATTAGCTGTGATTGTCATGCTCTTAAGATCTGGCGTCATTATCTGTATGGAGAGACGTTTGAGATCTATATTGATCACAAGAGTCTTAAATATCTTTTCACGCAGAGGGAACTGTACATGCGCAAGCATAGATGGATGGATCTTCTTACAGACTATGATTGCAAGATATCCTACCATTCAGGGAAAGGAAATGTGGTGGCTGATACACTGAGTCACAGTATGTCCGACATGATTACAAAACTACTAGCTTCCAAATACAAGACTCTAGAGACCTTATAAGAATTACAATGGGGTATTAAAAAGTGAGGAATGTATATAGCCAGCTTGAGAATCGAGCCAGTATTAATTCAGAAAATTAAAGATGCTCAAGAAATTGACACTACTATAGGAATCTTGAAGAAAGAAACTGAAGACGGTTTAAGGTCTGACTTCAGAGTTCACGACGATGGTTTGCTTCGATTCAGATGAAGATTGTGCGTTCTGGATGACCCTAACTTGAGGAGACTCATATTAGAGGAAATACATAATTCTAGATTTAGCATACACCCAAACATCACTAAAATGTATCGAAGTTTACGACCTTGGTATTGGTGGATTAGGATGAAGAAAGATATCTCTGAATTTATTAGTAAATGTCTCACATGTCAACGATTAAAGCCGAACACCAAAAGCTAGGGGGATTACTCTGACCTCTATCAATTCCAGAGTAGAAGTGAAAACACATTACTATGGACTTTGTGATGGGTTTACCTAGGAGTAAATTGAACCATAATACTATTTGGGTGATAGTGGACCGATTAATGAAGTCAGCCAATTTTTTACCAATAAAAGCTATAGATACTCTACATAAACTTACTAGATTATATATTAAAGAAGTTATTAGACTTCATGGAATCTTGGTATCAGTAGTTTTAGATTTGAGATGCTCGTTTCACCTTTAGGTTTTGGACAAGTCTTCAATAGGCCTTAGACACCACTTTATCATTCAGCACAATATTTCACCCACAAACAGATGGCTAAATAGAGAGAATCATCCAGACATTAAAAGATATGTTTAGGGTTTGTGCACTAGAGGTTGAAGGAAATTGGGACAACCATCCACCATTAATTGAATTCGCCTATAACAATAGCTATCAGTCTAGTATTAGTACAGCTCCATATAAAGTACTTTATGATAGACCCTGTACATCTCCTGTGTGTTGGGAAGAAATTGGGAATAGAAAATTAATTGGACCCAAATTAATTGAAGAAACTACCTCCAAGATTATCCTAATTAAGAAAAATCTTCAAACCGCCCAAAGTAAATAGAAGAGTTATGTAGATAACTGTAGAAGGAGTTTAGAATTTAAAACAAGGGATCATGTGTTCTTGAAAGTGTCACCAATGAAGGGTCTTATGAGATTTGGAAAAGAAAGGCAAATTAAGTCATCGCTTCATTGAACCATTCGAAATACTAGAGAGAATTAGATCTACTGCTTACCGATTGGCATTGCCACTAGAGTTGGCTAACGTTCATGATGTATTTTATGTGTTTATGTTAGGTAAATATCAGTCTGATCCATCACATATAATTCAGTATAAGGAGATTCATATTAAAGGAGATATGTCATATCAAGAAATGACTATAGAAATATTGGACAAACATGAGCGAGTATTGAGGAATAAGACTATTCTAATGGTCAAGGTACTCTGGCGACATCATTTGCCAGCAGAATCTACTTAGGAGACTGAAGATTCGATATGAACTCGATTTCCTCAACTGCTTTAGAAACATATCAAATTTAGAGGACCAAATTTTTATAAAGATTGGAGAATTGTAATATCAATATAAAGGAAACATAAAAGATAAGAAATATAAATAAAAAATAAAATTTGAGTTAGGATGTAAATGAAAAGATTTTTCAAATTTAGAAGATTTTTAGTTAATTTCAGAAATCTAAATGAAAATAAGTAAAAAAAATGAGATAAAAACATAAATAAAGAAAAGTGAAAGGGGGCAAAGAAAATAAGGAAAATGAATAGCCCACCAAACACAAAGCAACCATTTTTCCATAACTGAGTTTAAAACATTTTACACGATCAAAACCTGTAATTGGCCAGAATAATACAAGATAATTAAAGGATTAAAAAATCTTTTAAAACAATTTGTTTGTAACTGTAATTAAATTCTTAAAATATTATATTTAAACATAATTGGCTAATTGAAAGTATTGTGGCCGAACAAGTTAAAACCGAGAGTAATTGGGAGCCACGCCCACGCGCCGTGAATGAAGACAGTAGAGCGACGAAGTCAGACATGTTCCACGTGCTGACACGTGTCAGTAGCTTCCCCAAGACGGTAAATAAAAAAATAAAAGGAAAAGAAAAAAAGAAAATAGAAACAGGCTGCAGGTTTTCGGATTTGGAAAGACGGTAAGAGAGAGACCGGAATTAATTTGAAAAGAATATATTTATAATTTTTGTGATTAAAAAAATTAATATAAAAAGATAGAAAGAAAAAAATCAAACAAATCTTTTTGGGGGTGACGAGGACGTTTTGGTTCAAAAGAGCGTCTAAGTTCTCTTCATGTAAGAATGCGGGTCCCACCCTCTCCTTCTCTCCCCCTTCTCTCTCCGTCTCCTTTTATGTTTCTGCTCTACAAAACAACGGCGCGGACATTTTTACAACTATCCACCCCAACATATATACATTCATTTCCTCTCTCTCTCTCTCTCTCTCTCTCTCTCTCTCTTCTCCCACAAACACCTCCTCTGATTTTCTTTCAGGATTTTAAAAGGAAGAATAGAGACCCTCTCCCCCTACCCTCACCAGGGAAAAAAAAGTATTGGAAAAGCTTTATATATATTTATATTATATTAAAGGGAGAGCGAGAATGTTTCCGCTGTTTCGTATGTGGAACATATAAAAGAGAGAAACAGTGACTTTTCGTTAGCCTCACCGTCTTTTGGCAGTGCGTGCATCACCGGTTTACGCGGCGCGAGGGGGTGGCTGGTTTCCTCTCGGGAGAAAACCGGGTTCTTTGCCGCGGTGGTTTTTCGTTTTTTTCTTCTTTTTTTTTTTTTTTGTATACATTATAACTATAGATTATATATCTTAAATCCTTTTAGCTTTTTCCTCTTTCTATTTTCTATTCTTTTTTTTTTTTTTTGTTCTTGGGATTTGTCGCTGGATCGTTGTTGAGGGTCGGTTTTTGTGTTTAATAAACGGATGCGGGATTGAAATGCAGTAAGCCCTGAAAGGTGTATATGGACTGTTCATGTCCAAATGCTAGAATATAGATCTGGAGGTGGGTTTGATTGAGAATCTGGGTTTTTGGCTCACACTGCTGTGAGTTATTCCTGGTATGCTCTTTATTCTTCTTTCAATCTTATTTTATTTCATTTAATTCATAAGGGTCTTACATTTGCTATTTTATTTCGTTGGTTCATATAGGGGGAAAGGTGGTAATTCTCCTTGCCGAATTCTTTGCCTTGTGTTAAATTTTGCTTTTCTGATATCAGTGGCATCTGGGTTTATTTGCTCATATATTCGTAGAATAATGCATTAACACCAAGATGTCGTCTTCCTCTCTACTGTGTTATTTAGTTTACTCTAGAAAATTGATTTGGGTGAAAAATGTGGTTTTCGAGTATGCCAGATTTGGCACTTCTTTGATGATGGGTGCTTTAGATCTCAATTCAATGTTGCTAAATTCCATCTAAATCTTCATGGTTTTTCAATTTACCCAGCCTTTTCTTTTTCTTTATTTTGTTGCCTTCAGGGAATGAAAGAAGAAAATGTTACATGTCCACTAGTGTTTTTGAAGACAAATCCTAGGTTAATCCTCTAATGAATTGAGGATCAGTCGCAAAAGAGCATTGCATTTTGATTTAGGAGGCAATGTTGAGAGCATTAGCTCCTGGGCTGTTGATTTCTTATCTCCTCCTATCAGTATCTGCTGCGGAGAATGGTTTTCCTCGATGTAATTGTGACGATGAAGGAAGTTTATGGAGCATTGAGAGCATCTTGGAGACACAAAGAGTGAGTGATTTCTTGATTGCTGTAGCCTATTTTTCGATCCCCATTGAGCTACTTTACTTTGTGAGCTGCTCAAATGTGCCATTCAAATGGGTCCTCTTCCAGTTCATTGCCTTCATTGTTCTATGTGGACTCACCCATTTGCTCAACGGATGGACCTATGGCCCCCATACCCATCCATTTCAGCTCATGCTAGCACTCACTGTCTTCAAGATCCTCACTGCTTTGGTCTCATGTGCCACTGCTATTACTCTCATTACTCTTATTCCTTTGCTTCTTAAAGTCAAGGTAAGGGAGTTCATGTTGAAGAAAAAGGCCTGGGATCTGGGGCGAGAAGTTGGGATCATAATGAAACAGAAAGAGACAG